TGAAGGGTTAAAAAAGATTAAGAAGAGGCCGGGTACAGTGGATCATGCCTGTAATCCCAGCACTTTGGGAGGCCGAGGTGGGTGGATCACCTGAGGTCAGGAGCCAGAGACCAGCCTGGCCAACATAGTGAAACCCTGTCTCTACTAAAAATAATAATAATTTAAAAAATAGCGGGGCATAGTGGTGGGCGCCTGTAATCCCAGCTACTTGGGACACTGAGGCAGGAGAATTGCTTGAATCCAGGAGGCAGAGGTTGCAGAGCCAGAGCCGAGATCATGCCATTGCACTCCAAAAAAAAAAAAAAAAAAAAAAAAAAAAGGATTAAGAAGCAATTCAACAAGCATTTAAGTTTCTATGTAACAAATGATGGATTACAAAGATAAAAACATGGTCCCCAATTTAGTAAAAAGAAATAGCAAGATAATGAAACGGAATCTCCAAAGAAACGTCATTCAGTTCCTTCCTTATATTAAATATTAAGCTCCAGGCTGTGTGCAGTGGTTCACATCTGTGATCCCAGCACTTTGGGAGGCTGAGGTGGGAGGATCCCTTGAGGCCAGGAGTTTAAGACCAGCCTAGGTAATATAGTGAGACCCTGTCTCTGTCTCTCATCTGAGCTGGAGTGCAGCAGCACAATTTTCATGGCTCACTATAGCCTCAACCTCCCAGGTTCAAGTGATCTTCCTGCCTCAGTCTCCCAAGTGCTTGGGATTGCAGGTGTGAACCATCACACTCGGCCTCTACAAAAAGTTTAAAAAATTAGCCAGACTGGCATACACCTGTACTCCCAGCTACTGGGAAGACTGAGAGGGTAGGATTACTTGAGCCTAGGAGTTCAAGGCTGCAGTAAGCACTCCAGCCTGGGTGACAGTGAGAACCTGTCTCCAAGAAAACAAAAAAAATAAGCTCTAAGTTAGCATTGTTTAATATCCTCTCAAAATGCCAAGACCATTTCTCTGCATCTCAGAAGGCAGTATGGAAGCAGACTTCCAAATCACTAACCTCCAAACAACTGGCACTGGACGAGGAGCATCACGCTGTGGCTTTACTGTCACATGTACCTTATGTTCGTTTTTTTTTTCCCCTAAAAATCTTTTTAAAAACCAACACATTTCAGTTCTTTTCTAGTGCTTATTATACATGTTGTCAGGAAGAGTGGTTCTCAAAGTGTGGTCTGTGGACCTGCAGTTCTGGCATTGAAAACTTGTTAGAAATTACAATTCTTGGGCCCCACTCCACCCCTACTGAGTCTGAGTCTGGGGTGGAGCCCAGCAATCTGCTTTAACAACCCCTGCAGGTATTCTGATGGGCCTTGAGATGAAGAACCACTTGTCAAGTGCCCAGTAAAGCCACCAAACCCAAATCAGCAGCCTAGGAGAGGCAAAATCAGTCAGCTGGCTTTTGAAACAAATGTGAAGATGTTTTCTCACTGCTTAAACAGGTTCAGATTTATCCAAAGGATTTGAAAACTTATGTCCACACAAACGTTTCCAGTTTTGTTTGTAATTGCCAAAATGTGTAAGCAAGGTATCCCTCAGGAACTGAATGGATAAACTGTGGTACATCCAGACAATGGAATATTACTCAGCACTAAAAAGAAATAAGCTGGCCGGGCGCGGTGGCTCACGCCTGTAATCCCAGCACTTTGGGAGGCCGAGGCGGGTGGATCACAAGGTCAAGAGATCGAGACCATCCTGGTCAACATGGTGAAACCCCGTCTCTACTAAAAATACAAAAAATTAGCTGGGCATGGTGGTGCGTGCCTGTAATCCCAGCGACTCAGGAGGCTGAGGCAGGAGAATTGCCTGAACCCAGGAGGTGGAGGTTGCGGTGAGCCAAGATTGCGCCATTGCACTCCAGCCTGGGTAACAAGAGCGAAACTCCGTCTCAAAAAAAAAAAAAAAGAAAAGAAATAAGCTATCAAGCCATGAAAAGATGTGGAGGAAATTGAAATTCGTATTACTAAGTGAAAGAAGCCAATCTAATAAGGCTGCCTGATGTGATTCCAACTATATGACATTCTAGAAAAGGATAAAACTTCCATGCCATAGACTAATGGTCTCTGAGGCAAGAGGAAAAGAGAAAAGAAAAAAGAGAAAAAGGGAAAAATTATGGAGACAGTAAAAAGACACAATTGTCAGGGGTTTTGGGGGAGGAAGAGATATCTGGCAGAGAATTGCAGGTGTGGTAATGTGTTATGATAGAATAATGGTGGATGCATGTCATTATACATTTGTCCAAACTCACAGAATGTACAAGAATGAACCTTAAAAAATGTCCCCCTCTGGTGGGGGATGTTGATAATGAGGGAGGTGTGAGAACAAGGAGAATACGGGAAATTTCTGTACCTTCCACTTAATTTTGCTGTGAACCTAAAATTGCTCTAAAAATATAAAGTCTTAAAAGACAAAACAAAAAGTAGGTTGAGAGAGAGGTGATTTGGGGTAGATAAAAATGAAAATTATGGCCTTTTGATTCAGACAATGAAAACTGAAGTGATCTTTTAAAGTATGAGTTTATTCTCCAGGTTTTCTTAAATACCCACAAATTAGTGTTTTTATTGCTGCTATATCCAAGAGCTGAAAACAATTTAAAATATGTACTTTTATCATACATTTAATACTTACAAGAGATAGAATGGAACTGTATGAATTTTAAAGATAAGTTTTTCAGATTCAGTAACATATGAAAGAAAATTGAGGATAATTATAGAAACAGCTATTGAACTCTAAAATAAAAAAATATGGAAATAAAAGATATTTCATTTTTTAAAAAATGGCTCATCACCTCTCTTGCTGGTTAATACACTAATGACAATGAAATTGAGTCAAGCGTTATCTTCTCCATATTTAAAACAAAGTGCTGCTTTTCATGATTACCAGCTTTAGGTCTGAAATGTAAAACAGGATTAACTGAGGTTCCAAACAACTCAAATATTTTACTATTGTATTTTATGCTAATGGATTATTTTATAATACTAAGAAAATAAATCGGTAAATACCTCATAAGTTTGCTTGATTAGTTTGACAGGAAAAAACAAGAAATGGATGAACAGCTGATGGAGTTGAGTGTGATTTGGTCACTGGGACACTGTTACAAATGGCACCGAATCGTACACAAATAGTCTAGTGTGAGGATGTGTTACATAAAGACCAAAGACAGGCTGGATGCAGTGGCTGATGCCTATAATCCCAGCACTTTGGGAAGCCGAGGTGAATAGATCACCTGAGGAGGTCAGGAGTTCGAGACCAGCCTGGCCAACATAATGAAACCCCGACTCTGTGAACACAAAAATTAGCTAGGCGTGGTGGCATGTGCCTGTAATCCCAGCTACTTGGGAGGCTGAGGCAGGAGAATCGCTTGAACATAGGAGGCAGAGGTTGCAGTGAGCTGAGATATGCCACTGCACTCCAGCCGAGGCAACAAGGGTGAAACTCCGTCTCGATGAATAAATAAATAAAAACAAAGAGGAACATTTGCAATCTCTCTAGCAATGTATTTGGCCAAATAGTCCAGGTTTGACAAACCCAAAGGTAATCAGTCCCTAGAAAAATGGAAGTTAATGGGAAGCTACTTTCAAATTAGCTTCAATTTTATTTATAAATTAACAATACATAATTTCATCTTCTAGCCTTTTCATTCAAAGGAAAATTAAAACCATTCTGTTAGTGTGAACTTCTGTGTCTAAACTTGTCATTTTTTCTTTGGAGACAGAGTCTCCCTGTGTCACCCAGGGTGGAGTGCAATGGCACGATTTCAGCTCACTGCAACCTCCACCTCCCAGGTTCAAGCAATTCTCCTGCCTCAGCCTCCCAAGTAGCTAGGACTATAGGTGTGCACCACCATGCCTGGCTAACTTTAAAATTTTTTTTTAGTAGGTTTCACCATGTTGGCCAGGCTGGTCTCGAAATCCTGACTTTAGGTGATTCGGCCACCTCAGGCTTCCAAAGTGCTGGGATTACAGGTGTGAGCCATCTCGCCTGGTCTTTTTTGGTTAGTTTTTAAAAGACAAGTGATAGCAGATGTTGATGTTATTAATGTGACCAATGCATCGAATTTCCAAAGAATAAAATTAGATTACTTTAGTACTATGTCATTGTTCACAATGACTCATAGCATAAATATGACAGATATCCCACAATTGTCTTCAGTCCTGGGATCATGAAACAGGACAATTGACAATTTTCCATTAAGTGGAAAATTAATTAGGAGAAATGCCATTTCTAGAATGTGTAGGTTTCTCTTTTTCTCTTCATTTGAATTTTTTTAAAGTAGACCTCACACTTTCTTCATTTAAGCATCATTTTAAATAACCTTCTAACATTGTTTATTTTCTCTAAAATAAATCAAATTTAAAAAACACTTGCAAAATGTTTGTACCAATTGATCTCAGATGTTTCTTTGACAGTAAGCTACTTTTAATTCTGTGAAAATATTTAGTGCTACACCAGTTTCTATGAGGGAGGCCTGAAGTCTTTCTTTTTGCCATTTTTTAAAGCATTAGATTATCCAGTGTTCGTAAAATGGAACTAAAGTTCCTACAGAAATAATGAATGTGGAACAATAATGATGTACTTAGACTTACAAGTTAAAGACTCAAATAAGCCTTATAAAAACAACTTTATGTTAAATTGAAACCCATGCAAAATACAAAGAAAGGGGGGAAGGGAGAATTAAAAAAAAGCAGTCACTATCCCTATTGAGAGGACGGCCAGAGGATGAGGGCTGAAAGCAATCAAGCTACTGTGACTGCAAGCAGTCTGACTCAAAAGAAACCTCTACAGCTTACCAGACTGCTGCATACACACTCAGTCTAGACTTTCGGCCACAGTTTCAAAACACAAATTCTCCACAAAACACAACTCTATCCCAAATGTTCTTATGTGCTCTATGTTGCTTTTCTATTCTACTAAATGACTGATACCTTAACAACAAAATTTATTTTATTTAAAAAACACTTGCCAAATCACCCCACAAAATGTTTGGAATCAGAGGTAACTGTAGAAAGGAAACGTGTATATACTGCTTTTTATTGTAATATGTTTGTTAGTTGAATGAAAACAAACAGTAGCTAAAAAGGTTTCAAATAGAAAAACATATCTGGGTAAATTATTACACAATTTTTGTGTATTCAGACGACAGAAATGTGTATTTTTGCACCAATTGCAAATGCAAAGTTAACAATGAACTCAGGGAACTGAAAGGTCAAAGGGAGTCTCAAACATATTCACTATTTTAAAATTTAAGACAAAGCAGCTTAGAAAAAAACCCAACATATACACCATTATAACAGTCTTTTTTTTTTTTTTTTTAATTACTTCCAATTTTAACTGTTTTCTAAAAGCATTAAGACCTTTATTGTAGATTATGTATCATCTCCTCTTTGGCTATGAGATGTGTAGTTTTGTTAACCAGAGACATTAATGAGTTCAGTTTCTGAGACCAGTCATTTAATAAATTATTTGGATCCTTGGGTCTCTGGAAGTTGATAATTCCTGCTAATCTGTCTACTTTAGCAAAGATGGTCTTGTTAACTACTAGATTTGAGAGAAAGGCTTCAGACTCCTGCAAGAGAGAAAGACGAATTAAGACAGGATAAATTACAAACAATAAACAAAACTTCAGAAAAGCATTTTCTAAACTCTTTATCCAAGAATATGCAGGGCTAAAAATTCATTTTTAAGATTTAGTAACTGCTCATCTGGGTGTGGTGGCTCATGCCTGTAATCCTAGCACTTTGGGAGGCCAAGGTGGGTGGATCACATGAGGTCAGGAGTTCTAGACCAGCCTGGGCAACATGGTGAAACCCCATCTCTACTAAAAATACAAAAATTAGCCGATACAGTGGCATGCACCTGTAATCCCAGCTGCTCAGGAGGCTGAGGCAGGACAGTCGCCTGAACCTGGGAGGTGGAGGTTGCAGTGACTTGAGATTGCACCACTGCACTCCAGGCTGGGTGACAGGGCAAGACTCTGCCTCAGAAAAAACAAAGCAAAACAAACAAAGAGTTAGCAACTGTTGACTTCCTGTAATAAAGTACTTATTTTACTGATATTCTAGGGAATGAACAGAATCTGAGTAGATTCAGTCAGGGGTGAGTTTGAATCTGCCTCCCTGCAAACTCGATACTGCTGGTATCCATGCCAACAGCAAGCTGGTCTACTCCCTTTTCTATAGCTCCCCCTTAAAAGGCAGCATGGTAAAGTTAATTTGTTTCCAGAAATGCTGGGTTAGAATATACGCTCTCCCACTTGGCAACTACGTAGCCATGGACAAGACAGTTGACTTCTAAGGACTCTGGTACTCTCATTCATAAGTGACAAGCGCTGATGAGTTGATCAAGGTGCAAACCTTCCAATTCTAACGTTCCATGATTCTTATCACCTAAACTGTCACAACTCCTTCTGGTGACAGACATGGCTTTTCAGGCCATTACTGTACACTTCGGTTAACTCCCCTTTGTATGCTCTGCATTTTGTCAACATGAAACGGAGACCTGAAGACAACACTGCCACAAGTGATTCTGGGATCACTTGATACTTAGGCTATTTTTTGGTACTCAAGACAGCTTGGGAAACTTCTATAATTCTATTACCTAAACATAAAATTAAACAATAAAATCGATTTTCTTACTCAATCTTTACAAGTCAATATTAAAGGAATGCCTACAAATAACTCAAAGTTGATGTTTACTACTTACATCAACAGATAGATCCAGAAGCTGTGCCATCCTTTTCATTGTTATCCGAGTATAATACTTGGCCATTATTCTAATATTCTGGGGAAAGGACAGAGAACAGGGGGAATACATAACATCTGTCAGTAACTCTAAAAGTCCATTTATTTTCATATCCAAGTAAGTTTACTTGAAATGTTAGACTCAGAGCTTTTATTTTTCTCTAGCCCATCACTGGAGCAAAGCTGATTCTAATCCTCAAAAACAAACCTAAATACACAGATATTTTGGTTTCTGCAGTTATTTGTGAATTACTATGAGTATTCTACATAGCTCTTTAAACATACAGTCAAAATATATGCCTGTCACTAAACTCGTGGTTGAACATTATTATTGTACTGAAATATTTTTTTCTGAGTGCAAGAATCTAAAGTTAAGCTTTTCTAATTCTAACAAAAATGTTTTAAAGGCTAAAATCTAAAAAATGATTGGAGATTGGGTACAGGGACTCATACCTGTAATCCCAGCACTTTGGGGGGCTAAGGTGGAAGGACTGCTTGAGGCCAGGAGACCAAGACCCCATCCCCACAAAAAATTTTAAAATTAGCTAAATATGGTGGTGCATGCCTACAGTCCTAGCTACCTAGGAAGCGGAGGTGGAAGGATTCTTTGAATCCAGGAGTTCAAAGTTACAGTGAGCTATGACTGTGCCACTGCACTCCAGTCTGGATGACAGAGCTAAACTGACTCTCTCTCATTTTCTTTTTTTTTTTTTTTTTTTTTTGAGACGGAGTTTCACTCATGTTACCCAGGCTGGAGTGCAATGGCGCGATCTCGGCTCACCGCAACCTCCGCCTCCTGGGTTCAGGCAATTCTCCTGCCTCAGCCTCCTGAGTAGCTGGGATTACAGGCACGCACCACCATGCCCAGCTAATTTTTTGTATTTTTAGTAGAGACGGGGTTTCACCATGTTGACCAGGATGGTCTCGATCTCTTGACCTTGTGATCCACCCGCCTCGGCCTCCCAAAGTGCTGGGATTACAGGCTTGAGCCACCGCGCCCGGCCTTCTCATTTTCTTAAGAGACTGGGTCTCGCTATGTTGCCCAGACTGGAGCGCAGTGGCTATTCACAGGCGCGATCCCACTACTGATCAGCACATGAACTCACTTTCAAAAAAAAAGATTGGATATTATTTCAAATAATCATCACTTTACCATTGTTCCAACGACTTAAAGGTAGCTTCATATTAAATTTCGGAATTTTCACTGGAGATGGTGTTGAAGTTAAGACACAGGGACTCCCCTTTACTATTCTTATTGGTAGTAGCATTAACAATAGCACTCAAAAAAAGTTTGGGGAACAGTGGGGAGAAAAATGAACTCATCTTTGAAGAAGCTACATCTTCACGTATCTCTATCAGGGCTGATGGCAACACCAACACATCAGAAAGCATGAGAAGCATTCTTCCACTCGCTTTTCTTTTATCCTTTAAATCTAACCTTTTCCTTCGTGCTTTACGTTTAATCAAAGGCTGCATCCTATTGAGTTCCTTCCTTAAAACAGTCCCATTCCATGCACTCTTTGATCCCTCGGTACTGCCTTACTTGAAGTCCATCTGTCTCTCACTTTACTCGTCTCTAGTCTCATCTCTCTCCAAATGCATTCTCCACGTTCACTATCAGAGGGACTTTGTGCTCAGGCTGTCCTCCCCTCCCTGTCTGCCAGATAACCTCACAGTCCTCTTAGAAGCCTCACCTCAATCATCAATTCTTTCAACCTGATCATTACTCAGTATAGAAACACCTGAGTTTCCCATAAGTCTCACTCCGCTCTCTGTATTTGTACTACAATATCTGATACTTTTTATTTATAAGTACATCTTTCCCTATCATTTTTAATCTTCTTATTAAAGGTAGAGTAATATCTTATTCTCCTGTGTGCCCTGGCACTTTGTACAGTGTCTGGCACACAGAAGGCTCACAATAAATGTCTGTTATGTGAAGGGGTGAATGGTAACATAATACAACATAACAGCAGTGATAACCTAAGATCAAAGTTCAGGTTTAAGACATGCTACCTGTTTCCAAGACTAGCAAGTGAACACTGGGGAGAAACACCCTCCTGCCCCTATTCTTAGGAAATTCTGTCTGGTTTACATGCTATAAAATTTTGGATTCTTGAGAGGTTCTCTCAAATAAAGCATGCTAAAATATAGCTATCTTTTCTGAAAAGCCAAAAATAGGGAAAAAACCCAAGATGAGTGAGATACATTCCAATATGCTTTTGGAAATGTAAACATCTGAACACCAAATTTATATCACTACTACACTGGGCACAGAAAAAAAAAAAAAAATCCTAAGTGAAGAATTAAAGACATACCATCGAAAATGAAGATTTAATTCTCAAATGTGAAAAATAAAATAGTTTATGCTCAAATTTGCCAAAGTTTAATTCTAAAAAGTAAATTCGCTAAAGGTTAAAATAAAAATTGTCATCTCTATGCCAGATTCTTACATGTTCAACAACTCTGTTCTTCAAGTCTTTCCACCTTTTTTCACCTTCCTCTGTAGAACCAAAAACATCAGTTGCAGGACTCTCAGGGGAACCTTTTCTTAATTCCATTCCATAGTCCTCAACAAGTGTGGACCAACGCATCAACTCCATTGTGGTAAAAAGCTTTAAAAGATCCCTGCAAATTGTATACATCTTAATATTCCAAATCTGTAAAAATTAAGTATTAACTAACATAGCAAAGTTCAAAAAATCAACAGACTGTTTTCGTTAAATTTTATTTAGGAGATACAATTTGATTATTTATTTTACCAACTTTATTACCATTTTTTTCCCCACAGTGGTTCAGAATACAGCATTCTCCCACTTAACACTCTGCTCTCTTCTGCACTGTCAATTTCTGAAATAACACTGTAAATGTACTCATGAAACAAAAGAGAAATAAGAGCCTGTTGTGCTTATGATGAAGCAAGTCTATTTTATATAACAGATTTTCAGAAGTATGTCTTTCTGAAAATCACAAAGCTCTAAACTACTAATGGTGAAACTCTATCAAATGGTTAATCAAAAGCTGCTAAAGTAGACCTGATATGAAACTTCCACCTGAAAAGCAATTTAGAATAAAGTGTATTATGATCTCGTTGATTGCTAATGTAATGCTAAAAAAACATTTCACCACTTTATCATCTCTAGTTTTATTCTCTAATATAATCTATCAGTAACCAATTAAGAAGTTAACACTTAGGCCAAGCATGGTGGCTCAAGCCTGTAATCCCAGCACTTTGAGAGGGTGAGGTTGGCGGATGACCTGAGGGCAGGAATTCGAGACCAGCCTGGCCAACATGGTGAAACCCCGTCTCTACTAAAAATACAAAAATTAGCTGGGTATGGTAACAGGTGCCTGTAATCCCAGCTACTTGGGAGGCTGGTGCAGGAGAATTGCTTAAACCCGGGAGGCAGAAGTTGCAGTGAGCTCAGTTGGCACCATTGCACTCCAGCCTGGGCAACAAGAGCGAAACTCCGTCTCCAAAAACGAAGTACAGAAGTATACGCTTAGGTTAGCCAATTTTCTTTCAAAATGGAGTTTCTACTGCAATATTATCATGCTAATTTCAAAAGCACTTACTTGTATTTGGGAATTTCTTCTAACTTCTTGTCACCACTTATTCGGTGAACCAAATCGGACTGTTCATTGTCAAAAGGAGCCAGAATAACATAGAGTACCACACTCTTCAGAGCCTGAAAGAGTTGTACAACAAAGGTTATACGCAAGACTAGACATAATGGAAACATTGGCAAAAACTGAACAATCATAGTATAACTACATATCCATTATGTATGTTAAAGTCCTAAGGGAAAAAATATTGCCAGGCTTGCCTGTTCATAGTGTCTCTCTATAGTATTTAGTTTTCACAAAGCTATTACAATAAATCATTGCTAATCTGAATTACTACCTTAGCAGACATTTTTCTTGACATTCATTTTTGACAAATGTATAAAGAAAAAGTTCTTACAACAAGTTAGCAGTATAAATGTGGAATGTATATATAAGCACTTTAAAACAGGTTTTATAAAATAACTTTCCAACGTAATGCTGGGTCTTTATCTGCAACCTTTATTAGGATGTGACCCACTGTACATATTTTAAACAGGAACCCTATATTTCTCCAAAAAGTGAAACAAAATCTAAACTATTGCCACAATTAGACTGAATCAGTAATATACTGAACAACACTGAACAGAAAGCAGCAGCATACAACTGCATCTAATTATTGCAGTTAAAAAGATTTGAAAATTTTAAAATGCAAATTACTCTTCTGAATAAGCAGCCATGTCAATTACACGAATATATTCTTACCTGCTGCCATTTTTCACTTTCTGCCTGTATACAGGGAGTATCATATATTGCTCTGTAGTGCTTACAAATAGACAAATAGGATCCCTCATGTTGATCCAGCTGAATCATTAAATTATAGTACTTCAACTTTAATTTCTGCAAAAAAGTTGACAAAACAAATTGGGGTTTATGGGTTTTCTTCATACTTCTAAAGTAAACTATAGTCAGAGATATGCTCACCTCTGTATTTTCTTCCTGGAAAAATTTGGTGTTAATTTTCTTGCTGATGATTTGTGTTCGAATGTAATCCTTCACAGCTAGGCAGAGCCTCATCTGCTCCAAAATAAATTCCACTCGCTCTTTCTTTTCCATTGACCCGTAGGTTTCCACCTAGCATAGTAATTCCCCAAATAAGTTTATAATACTTTGCAATTTTGCAAATTGCAACAAAATTAAATAGATATTAAAATATTCACCCTTGTTAAATAATAAGAATCTTCATATGTACAGGGAGAGTGCTGACAATTAAAAGCTAGTTACATCTATAAAATTATAATGTATAATGGATTTTTCCCCTTTTGGTAAAAAAAAATTCTATGAATTTTAACAGATGTAGTGATTTGCGTAACTACCATCACAATGAAGACACAGAACCCAAAAAACCTTCCTTGCATTACCCCTTTATAATCACACACTTCCCCTACTCATAAGCCCCCCTAAGACATCCAATGATCTGTACTCCATCACTACAAATTTGTCTTTTCAAGAAGGTCAAATATAGTATATAATGCTTTGAGACTGTCTTTATTCACTCTAAATAATGGCCTAAATTGTAAGATTCATTCATCAATAGTTCATTTCTTTTTACTGCTTAGTAGTGTTCCATTTACAGACACACCACAGTTTATTCACCTGTTGAAGGATATCTGGGGTGATTCTTTTTACTATCACAAATAGAGCTATTATGAACAAGTTTTGTGGACTGGTTTAACGTAAATGTAAGTTTTCATTTCCCATGGGTAAATACTCAAGAGTGGGACTGCTGGATCATATGGGAAGTATATTGCCAAACTGTTTTCCAGAGAGGCTGCACCATCTTGCATGCTTACCAGCAAGGGATAGGAGTTCCAGCTGCTTTGCATCCCCACCAATACTGAGTATTTTACTGTTTAAACTGTAGGCATTTTAACAAGTATGTAGTGGTACCTCATTGTTGTTTTAATTTGCATCTTCTTAATGGTTAATGAGGAAATGACAGTTTTAAATATGAAAAAAGATGCCATTCACAGGCTTTCACTCAAAACCCAATATAATTATTGGTGCCAAACATTTTGGATAAGGGATACTCATATTTCCATTAGAAAATACTGCTGACTGCCGGGCGCGGTGGCTTAAGCCTGTAATCCCAGCACTTTGGGAGGCCAAGGCAGGTGGATCACGAGGTCAAGAGATCGAGACCATCCTGGTCAACATGGTGAAACCCCGTCTCTACTAAAAATACAAAACATTAGCTGGGCATGGTGGCGCGTGCCTGTAATCCCAGCTACTCAGGAGGCTGAGGCAGGAGAATTGCCTGAACCCAGGAGGCGGAGGTTGCGTGAGCCGAGATTGTGCCATTGCACTCCAGCTTGGGTAACAAGAGTGAAACTCCATCTCAAAAAAAAAAAAAAAAAAAAGAAAGAAAATACTGCTGACTAAACAAAGTTTTACCCACTCTAAAACACAGTACCTTACCTGTAGCTCCTGTAAGATAGAGGCTGCCTCTTTCACGTCGCCATTTTGTTCTTTTATAGTTGCTAATGTCTTAGTCAGTCGAGCACGCTCAATTTCAACATAAATCTACAAATGAGAAAATTACGCAATTAAAATTCTGTGGAAACATATTAAAATTTAGGCTGTGTGCGGTGGCTCACACCTGTAATCCTAACACTTTGGAAGGCCGAGGCAGGAGGATTGCATGAGCCCAGGAGTCTGAGACCAGCCTGGCCAACATAGTGAAACCCTACCTCTCCTAAAATTATAAAAAATTAACGGTGGTAGGGGCCTGTAATCCCAGTTACTCGGGAGGCTAAGGCAGGAGAATCACTTGACCCTGGTAGGCGGAGATTGCAGTGAGCTGAGATTGCGTCACTGCACTCCAGCCTTGGTGATAGAGCAAGACACCATCTGTCTCAAAAAAAAAAAAAAAAAAAGTAATTACTATGTTTAACAAATAATAGGACAAGCTACGTAAACGGCACAGAAAATGCAAAGTGCCTTTTGAGTATTTGAAAAGTGTGTTATACGTAGTCCAATGTCTACAGTTAATACTCTAATTCTGATTTATCTTTAAATACAAGACTACCTTCTTTAAAAATATCTGATTTTTCTAGTTATTAAAGTTAACATTTTTGTAGTTATAAGTAATGTTAGATTTATAATTTCCAACAAATTAAACACTAAAAATATGACTACAGTATAACCTAAAGCACCTGAGGAATTAATTTTCATGCTTAGGTTTGCTTACTCTATTTCCAATAATATCAAACTAATTACAGCTTCCTACAACTATCATGCATTTCTTACTTTGGTGTCTTTGAATATAATTTCCTCTACGTCTAAAATGCTCTTCTCCCACACTCTGACCCTGGGAAATTTTTATTCATTTTTTTAAGTCTCAATATAAATCTGTGATGACTAATACTCAGAGAAAGCTAGATATACCATGGCTGTCACTATTTAAATAGATTCATCTGCAGAAAGGGATGTACAAAGACATTATTGGTTGAATTAAAGTGATGACCTTTTGCATATTTCTTTAAAAAATAAACATAATGTATACTTATACAAAATATCTACATACATTAAGTATCTCTGAATATAGACAAAACAGTTTGTATCATTGTGAGTTATGTCAACAGAAAATTTACCTTGCCTTCGGTAACCATTCGTAGAGTATCAATTAATCGAAGTTTGATAGGAAGGTCTGTGATTTCCTCAACGTAAGTACAGCACTGTTGAACCATTTTAGCAACAGCCTAAAATATTAAAAACCGTTCATAAGTAAAATACATTCCTCACAGAGGAAAAAAATAATGTATTTTGTTGATGGAAGAGCAATGATTGAACTTGGTCTTCCCAAGCAACTCTAGACCCGGAAATATCATAAAGAACATCACATCAAAATTTCCCTAATACCGAAAAAGTACCAAGTACCCCGTAACAAGTCAGAAAAGGTCAGGAAAACCTCAGATGCAGAGATGCAGCCAAGCAGGAAAGCAAGGAAGAAATGGCATCTGATTAAAGGGACAAAATGGGAAGAGAAAGCAGAGGTCCACAGCTGCTTAAAGCCACCACCTGCGGATAACTGTGACTGAGGAGGAAAAAGGCAGTGGCAGAGGCAAAAGGTAAAACAGTTCTACCGGCTGGGTGGGAAGAGCCACAGTCACCCAAATTCACCTCAATACGATGTGACAGTGAGAGCCAGAGACCCTCTTCCCTTCAATTTCCTCACATGTTATATCTAGGGGCTGGAATACATTCCCTTCAGCACTAACATTCTGATCTAGGTCACAAGTCAGCAAACATTTTCTGTAAATTTTTGCAAATATTTACAAAGTAATTACTTTGGACTTTGTGGGCCACAGTCTCTGTGACAACTATTCAACTGCCTCCTTAAAAACAAATGGGCGTGGCTGTGTTCCAATGACTTTATTTATAAAAAATAGGCGGGTGGGATTTGGTTTGTGTCCCATCATTTGCCAGTGCCTGATCTGGATTTTAAGCAATATATCATAATCATTAATAATTAGGCCCATGAGTCATCAAGAAAATGTGAAATTACATTAAATATATTTTGGTTAAGGCAGCAGAGAAATAAATAGTATGTCTTAGAAAGATTTCCATGAAAAACATTTAATGTTTAAGAAGTTTAGCTTAAACCTTTTTGTTGTGGAGGGGATCTGATTTTATTTTAGATTCAGGGGTTACATGTGGAGGTTTGTTTCATGAATAGATTGTATAGTGGTGAGGTATGGTCTTCTAGTGAACCCATCACCCAAACAGTGAACATGGTACCCTAAAGGTAATTTTGGATACAACAGGTAACCCTCACCTCCTTTCATCCTTCTTCTGGAGTCCCCAGTGTCTATTATTTCCATCTTTTTTTAATTAAAAATAATTTTTTTTAATGACATGGGGCCTCACTTTGTCACCGAAGCTGGAGTGCAGTGCCATGACCATAGCTCACAGCTACCTCAAATTCCTGGGCTTGAGTGATCCTCCCACCTCAGCCTCTTGGGCAGCTAGGACCACAGGTATGTGCCAACACACACAGCTAATTTTTTTAAAGATTTTTGTGGAGAAAGGGGTCTCACCATCTTTATACCCATGTGTACCTATTGTTTAGCTTCCATTTACCAATGAGAACGAGCAGTATTCAACTTTTAACTATGTGAAACACTGGTTATTTAGAGACCCAGGCATTCCAGAAAGCTACGGTTTTATTATAAAACAGAACTCTTTCACTAAGTGCAAGGCCCTAGGACATCTAGTATCTCACAAAACATATGATCCCTGTAAAGTTAATTATAATTTCTAGAAGTGCACACAACTTGATAATTCTAAAAGCTGTGCAAAAAATCCATGAACAGAAATCAGATGCGGTTAAAAATAACAACAGTAACCACAGCAGTCCCAACTTATCAAGGTTTTGCTTTCCAGTTTCAGTTAGCCATGGTCCACTGTGGTCTGAAAATATTAAATGGAAAATTCCATGTATAAACAATCTGTAAGTTTTAAACTGCACACCGTTCTGAGTAGTGATGAAATCAAATACAGTCCCTCAAGTCAGCCCTTGGTCCAGTGTCTCCACACTACACACACTAGTCATTCAGGAGCCATCTCAGGTACCAGATCCACTGTCTCACATGCAGTGCTTGTGCTCAAGCAAGCCTTATTATACTTCATAACGGCCTTAGAGCCCAAGAGTGGTGATGCTGACCATTCATATATGCCGAAGTGAAGCCATAAAGCGTCTCCTTTACGTGAAAAGGTGAAAATTCTCAACAAGGAAAAGCATAATGGATATATGGTTTCATACTATCTGTGGTTTCTGGTCTCCAGAGAGGGTTTTTGGACATATCCCTTATGAATAAAGGGAGACTACTGTACATGAACACACTAACAATGCAATGGGGAAGCTATTAACAACATTCTAATAAGAAGTGACCATCCTACTGCTCTCTGAAAAAAATACAAGTAAGACATTAAGGAAGTTACAGTTGGAGTGACACCTTGGGCTCAAGTTTATTTTCTGTCAAGAAAATAAACAGGAAACATTAATATTAAGCAATCAAGAAAAGGTTATTTTCATTAATTTTTTTTTTTTTTTTTTTGAGACAGAGTCTTGCTCCGTTGCCCAGGCTGGAGTGCAATCTTGGCTCACTGCAACCTCCGCCTCCTTGGTGCAAGCGTTTCTCTTGGCTCGGCTTCCTGAGCACCTGGGACTACAGACATTTGCCACCATGCCCAGCTAATTTTTTTTTTTTGTATTTTTAGCAGTGACAGGGTTTCACCATGTTGCCCAGGCTTGTCTGGAACTCCTGGGCTCAGGCAATCAGCCTGCCTCGGCCTCCCAAAGTGCTAGGATTACAAGCATGAGCCACCGTGCTTAGCCGAAAAGATTATTTTCTTAAAGTTACTTTCTAAGTCTGCTTAAGCAAAAAATGTTGTAGTTTAATTATAAAAAAAGTGGACTTTGTGGGTCACAGAGACATTCTGAGTCCCTAAGCACTTTCCATAGCTATGGAGACATGACATGTTATAGGGAAAGGAGCATGCCTGGTTCCAGTTCTGGCTGTCACTAGCCAGCTGTGAGACAAAGTCCTCTCTCTCCAAGAAGCCTTCCCCAATAAATCCAACCCAAAATATTCTCTTCCTCCTTTCACGTCTCTTTGTACATCCTATTACTCTTGTGTCACTTATACATTGCCTAATGTATGTGTAGCAATTTTTAAAAATCTTAAAGCTACTTGCTAAAGATGTGCTGTAATTGCTGGGCGCGGTGGCTCACATCTATAATCCCAGCACTTTGGGAGGCCGAGGTGGGTGGATCACTTGAGGTCAGGAGTTTGAGACCAGCCTGGCCAACATGGTGAACCCCGTATCTCTACTAAAAATACAAAAATTAGCTGGGCGTGGTGGCGGACGCCTATAATACCAGCTACTCGGGAGGCTGAAGCAGAAGAATCATTTGAACCCGGGAGGTAGAAGTTGCAGTGAGCCAAGATCACACCACTGCACTCCAGCCTGGACGGCAGAGTGAGACTCCATCTCAAAAAAAAAAAAAAAATGCTATGATTACTTGTGACTTATATACGTTACTAACCAACAGGCTGCCAAGGGCAAGACCTATAGGCTACATGTCTCTTCACATTCCAAGCACCTTACATATAAATCTGTTTCTCCATTTAGAAAGTGACAGGGCCAGCGCCAGGCACGGTGGCTCATGCTTGTAATCTCAGCACTTTGGGAGACCAAGGTAGGAGGATTGTTTAAGCCCATGAGTTTGAGGCCTGGTCAACATAGCAAGACTCCGTCTCTACAAAAAATACAAAAATTAGTTGGGTGTGATGGTTTGTGCCTGTAGTCCCAGCTACTTGGGAGGCTGAGGGGGAGGATGTCTTGAGCCCATGAGGTTGAGGCTGCAGTGAGCTATGATTGCACTACTGCACTCCAGCCTGGGCGACAGAGTAAGACTGTCAAAAAAAAAAAAAAAAAAAAAAGGAAGAAAAAAGTAAGGGTTAAGCAACAACCCCTACTACTAGCTCTGAGATCTTATGACATGAGAAACTAAAGTTTAAGATGTGTGCTTTGAATTGTCCTAATATGACATAAAACATGAATTTGCGTTGATTTCAACCTAGGTTGCCTTAAGACTTCTAATAAAGGAGCCCTTTCAAAATTGTCCCGTAGAGAGTAAGTCTCTTAGAAAATAGAATAAGATGATGGTCTGTCTAATAATTGTCTCTCAAACCACTCAACTGGGCACCAAAAAGCACACTTGAATTTCATGGCTGGGTACGGTGGTTCATGCCTGTAATCCCAGCACTTTGAAAGGCCAAGGCAGGTGGATCCCTTGAGGTCAGGAGTTTGAGACCAGCCTGGGCAACACGGTGAAACCCTGTCTCTATTGAAAATACAAAAATTGGCCGGGCGCGGTGGCTCAAGCCTGTAATCCCAGCACTTTGGGAGGCCGAGGCGGGTGGATCACGAGGTCAAGAGATCGAGACCATCCTGGTCAACATGGTGAAACCCCGTCTCTACTAAAAATACAAAAACATTAGCTGGGCATGGTGGTGCGTGCCTGTAATCCCAGCTACTCAGGAGGCTGAGGCAGGAGAATTGCCTGAACCCAGGAGGCGGAGGTTGCGGTGAGCTGAGATTGGGCCATTGCACTCCAGCCTGGGTAACAAGAGTGAAACTCCGTCTCAAAAAAAAAAAAAAAAAAAAAAAAAAAAAGAAAATACAAAAATTAGCCAGGCGCGGTGGCTCAAGCCTGTAATCCCAGCACTTTGGGAGGCTGAGGTGGGTGGATCAAGAGGTCAAGAGATCGAGACCATCCTGGTCAACATGGTGAAACCCCGTCTCTACTAAAAAAAATACAAAAAATTAGCTGGGCGTGGTGGCGTGTGCCTGTAATCCCAGCTACTCAGGAGGTTGAGGCAGGAGAATTGCCTGAACCCAGGAGGCGGAGGTTGCGGTGAGCCGAGATCGCGCCATTGCACTCCAGCCTGGGTAACAAGAGTGAAACTCCGTCTCAAAAAAAAAAAAAGAAAATACAAAAATTAGCCAGGCATGGTGGAACATGCCTGTAATCTCAGCTACTTGGGAGGCTCAGATAGAAGCAGTACTTGAACCAGGGGGGTGGAGGTTGCAGTGAGCCGAGATCGTACCACTGCACTCCAACCTGGGCAACAGAGCAAGACTCTGCCTCAAATACATACATACGTACATACATACATACATACATACATAAATTTCACATTCACATATTTTAGGTTCCCTCAATTAAATATATGCCAATTCTTAACACTGGGGGTGTGTGTGTGTGTGTGTGTGTGTGTGTGTGTGTGTGTGTATTTTTTGAGACAGAGTCTTTTTCTGTTGCCCAGGCTGTGCAGCGCAATGGCACAATCTCAGCTCACTGCAACCTTCGCCTCCTGGGTTCAAGCAATTCTCCTGCCTCAGCCTCCTGAGTAGCTAGGATTATAGGCACCTACCACCACACCTGGCTAATTTTTGTATTTCTTGTAGAGACAGGGTTTCACAGTATTGCTCAGACTAGTCTTGAACTCCTAGGCTCAAGTAATCCACCCACCTTGGCCTCCCAAAGTGCTGGTATTATAGGTGTGAGCCAATGCACCTAGCCAACACTGTCTTTTATATGCATGTAAACTTACCTAAAGAAAAAATAAACCAAAACCAATTACAGTAACTCTGACTTTTGCAAAAAACAATTTAACCCACTTTAATACTATCTTTACCCCATAAGCAATCTAATTAATAAAATAAGAAATTTGGACAAGAACACTATATATCTTTTCTTGTTGTACTACATCTTCTTTTACAATGTTCTTATTATTTAAAGCAAAAAATAAAAACCCAGAAACTACTCAGGAAACAGCATTTAAAAGATGAGATAAAAATGTAAAAAATGAGATCTACTTGTACAGGGGAACATTTAAATATATCTCAAGAGGAATAAGGAAACAGTAAAGAATATCCAACTTCACCACAACACTAAAAGAGAACTTACATAATCTCTAAACAAAATAAGCAAAATAGTCTCTCTAAAAATGGCCTCAAAAATAAGTTGGAGAGCTGGGAACAGTGGCTCATGCCTATAATCCCAGTATTTTGGGAGGCCGAGGTGGGAGGATCACTTGAGCCCAGCAATTTGAGACCGGCCTGAGCAATGTAGCAAGACTCAAGCCCCTATTTCTGCAAGTGCATGTGAGCACGCGCACACACACTAAAGATTAAATGTTTAACAGTTTTTTTTTTTCTTTTTTTTTTTTTTTTAGAGGGGGTTTAGCGCTTGTTACCCAGGCTGGAGTGCAATGGCGCGATCTTGGCTCACCGCAACCTCCGCCTCCTGGGTTCAAGCAATTCTCCTGCCTCAGCCTCCCGAGTAGCTGGGACTAAAGGTGCGTGCCACCGTGCTCAGCTAATTTTTTTGTATGTTTAGCAGAGACGGGGTTTCACCATGTTGACCAGGATGGTCTCGATCTCTTGACCTTGTGATCCACCCGCCTCGGCCTCCCAAAGTGCTGGGATTACAGGCGTGAGCCACCGCGCCTGGCCAACAGTTTATTCTTTTGGCAGACTTCAGTTTTCTCGGGCAGGCACTCTAAGCAGGGCTTGGGTCATCCTAGACACACAGCCTTCAGCTGTTACAAACAATCTTAGTATTTGTTTAAGTCTACATAGGCCAAGGTGAAGGCCTTGTCAAGAGGTGGGCTCTTTAGTCAAGGAGATAAATTTTTGTCAATATGTGCAGTTTTTGAGTAATAGCTCAAGCTATTTTCCAAAAAAAAATAAATATAAGACAATGAAATGATATTTAGTTATTAAACATATTTTAAAACAGCATAAAGTGTTTAATAAAAGAGGTATGACAAAATAAATCTGCATATCAACTTGATAAATTACAACATAACCATTTAAAATAAAAGTGGGGCCAGACACAGTGGCTAACACCTGTAATCCCAGCACTTTGGGAGGCCAAGGCAGAGGGATCACTTGAGTCCAGGAGTTTGAGACCAGCCTGGGTAATACAGTGAGACCTTGTCTCTATGAAAAATTTAAAAATTGGCCAGGTGTGGTGGCACACGCCTGTAGTCCCAGCTGCTTGGAAGCCAGGTGGGAAGACTCCTTGAACCCGGGAGGTTGAGGCTACAGAGAGCTGTAATCACACCACTGCACTCCAGCCTGGGTGACAGAGCGAGACCCTATCTCAAAATAAGTAAATAAATAAATAAGAAAAAAATAAAAGTAATGACACCAAAATAGAACAAAGCTGTATGAACACTCTTCAATATAACACAATTTTTTAAAAACATGCAAACATAAAGACTGGAAGAAAAAACAAAATATTTGTATCATTGTGAGAATGTGGGCTGAATTTTAAAACTCACTCTAGGATGTTATAATGTTGACTTAACACATTTTAAACAGACTTGCAGAAGAGCTTTTGAAAAGTTCTTATTTAAATACAAATGCATTTGTGTTTTAAGCAGTCATGATCATGAACTCACTTGTTTTAACTGACTCCGCCTTTTGGATAAAAGCATAATATTTTCATTAAGTAAATCCCATTCTTTAGCCTCATAGCACATCTTCACTACTGCAACTAAGATACGGGATGTAGATACCATATCGGAAGCCTGTAAGGATGAAAATATATTGAAAGTTAATGGAACAATGTTCAATGAAATTAATGGTAACTGAGCTTTTCCCTGTAAACTACTCACAGTACGAGTCTGCTTTTCCAAAGAGAGAAGGGTTTCAATGACTTCTTGAAGTCTTCCTTCCTAAAACAAAAGGTAAAAATGAACAATGAAACAACACATGAAATCCAAATGATTAGTCTAAAATGAAATGGTTTTGACACAGAAAGGGAAAAATCAACAGCCTGTTCTAGAGGAAAAGGACCACCCCATAACTACTTTTGTTTCTCTCCTTTCATGATAGTCCTTGCTTCTCCAGTGGATTCCATCAGTCAGTGGTTCCCTACTTGAGGCCCACAAGCTATTTTTAATATTTTTAAATGCCTAAGAGAAACTGAACATATAACAATCCTGTAACACCTGAGAAAACACCAAGTCTTTGTTCTGGATTCTAATTTATCAACTCAGTATGGTAACACCTGTTTATCTTATTCTTTTTTTTCTGAGACAGAGCCTCACTCTTTCACCCAGGCTGGAGTGCAGTGGCACCATCTCGGCTCACTGCAACGTCCACCTCCTGGGTTCAAGCGATTCTCGTGCCTCAGCCTCCGGAGCAGCTGGAGCTACAGGAGTGTGCCACCACACCCAGCAAAGTTTTGTACTTTTTGTAGATACAGAGTTTTGCCATGTTGGCCAGGCTGGTCTCAAACTCCTGACCTCAGGCAATCATCCCGCCTCGGCCTCCCAAAGTGCTGGGATTACAGGCCTGAGCCACCATATCTGGCAGATCCTGTTCTGATCAGAGACTCTAAGTGGTAGTCACATGTGTCTTTAAATAAAAACAAGCCTGGTACAGTGGCTCATGCCTGTAATCCCAGCACTTTGGGAGACCAAGTGGGGTGGGTATCTTGAGCTCAGGAGTTTGAGACTAGGCTGGGCAACATGGCGAAACCCATCTCTACAAAACAATACCACAATACAAAAATTAGCTGGGCACTGTGGTTCACACCTGTAGTCCCAGCTACTCTGGAGGTTGGGGTGGGAGGCTGGCTTGAGCTGGGGAGGTGAAGATTGCAGTGAACCAAGATTGCACCACTACAATGGGTGACAGAGTGAGACTCTCTCTCAAAAAAAAAAAGTAGAAAAATAAATGATTTCTTTACAAAGTCACTGTTACTGTAACAAATTATTTTAAAATACAGAGTTCCAGGAAAAAAATAAAAAGAGTATCTAGTGCTAAAAGACAGGAAACTCAGCCAGGTGTGGTGGTTCACGCCTGTAATCCAAGCACTTTGGGGACCAAGGTGGGCAGATCACCTAAGGTCGGGAGTTCAAGACCAGCCTGACCAACATGGTGAAACCCCATCTTAATTTTTTAAAATTAAAAAAAAAAAAAAAAAAAAAGATAGGAAACTCTAATTTCTCAATGACTTTAAAAATAGTAATCATGCTTACAGGAAATGAAGGCCACCTGAGAACACCCATACATGCTATCCTGAAAGTCATGCTCTTTTTTTTTTTTTTGAGACGGAGTTTCGCTCTTGTTACCCAGGCTGGAGTGCAATGGCGCCATCTCGGCTCACCGCAACCTCCGCCTCCTGGGTTCAGGCAATTCTCCTGCCTCAGCCTCCTGAGTAGCTGGGACTACATGCACGCGCCACCATGCCCAGCTAATTTTTTGTATTTTTAGTAGAGACGGGGTTTCACCATGTTGACCAGGGTGGTCTCGATCTCTTGACCTCATGATCCACCTGCCTCGGCCTCCCAAAGTGCTGGGGTTACAGGCTTGAGCCACCGCGCCCGGCGAAAGTCATGCTCTTAAGCAGATACTGATCCAACTGAAATATACTTTTTGACAACTTATACTAACCTCACCACACCTCTATCTCATATGTAAGAATAAAACATTCTCCCTGGGATATACATTTGGAGATTGGAATAAGAAAACTCAAATAATATAAACATAAATGATAATACACCAGGACTAAAACAAGTATTAGGAACCACACATTTTGATAAAACCAAAACCAACATACAGCACAAAAATTGCACCACTGGCCAGGCATGGTGTCTCACATCCTGTAATCCTAGCACTTTGGGAGGCTGAGGTGGGAGGATCACTTGGGCCCAGGAATTTGAGACCAGTCTGGAAAACAGGGCAAGATCCTATCTACAAAACATGTAAAAATCAGCTGGGCAGGCCGGGCATGGTTACTCATGCCTGTAATCCAAGCACTTTGGGAGGCCAAGGATGGGGTGGATCACCTAAGGTCAGGAGTTTGAGACCAGCCTGACCAACATGGTGAAACCTCGTCTCTACTAAAAATATAAAAATTAGCTGGGTGTGGTGGCATGTGCCTGTAATCCCAGCACTTTGGAAGGCTGAGCAGGTGGATCACGAGGTCAAGAGATGGAGACCATCTTGGCCAACATGGTAAAACCCTGTCTCTACTAAAAATACAAAAAATTATCTGGAGGCCGGACGCGGTGGCTCAAGCCTGTAATCCCAGCACTTTGGGAGGCCGAGGCGGGTGGATCACGAGGTCAAGAGATCGAGACCATCCTGGTCAACATAGTGAAACCCCGTCTCTACTAAAAATACAAAACATTAGCTGGGCATGGTGGCTCGTGCCTGTAATCCCAGCTACTCAGGAGGCTGAGGCAGGAGAATTGCCTGAACCCAGGAGGCGGAGGTTGCGGTGAGCCGAGATCGCGCCATTGCACTCCAGCCTGGGTAACAAGAGTGAAACTCCTCCGTCTCAAAAAAAGACAAAAAAAAAAAAAAAAAATTATCTGGATGTGGTGGCGCTCGCCTGTAGTCCTAGCTTGGGAGGCTGGGGCAGGAGAATTGCTTGAACTCGGGAGGCGGAGGTTTCAGTGAGCTGAGATCAAGCCACTGCACTCCAGCCTGGCAACAGAGCAAGACTCTGTCACAAAAAAAAAAAAAAAAAAGTAAAAAATGCATGTATTTAACATGCTTATATTAGTAACTATCATGTAAACACCTCTGACAATAAATTGAAATGAGAAGAGTATTATTTAAAAATTGTTTTTCTAACCGAAAATGAAAATTTTTTTACCTTAATGACATTCATGAATGGTACATGAGTACTATCCTTTTCTACTAATGAAAAAACTTACTAAATTAAATAGCTTCTGAATTATGGGCATAAATAATGTTTTGACTTTTTAAAACACTGCTGCCATATTTTTCCAAGATTACTTTTAAACATGCATGAATTTTCCATGCAGCACAACATATATGCTGTATAGCCCGTCTGAGCTTATTTTAATTAAATCTGAAATATGTGATTATTAACATATTTTAACAATATTTCCTTTTTGGAGAGCACTAGTTCTCCTTTCTCTGAAAGTTCCATAGATTTATGTATATAATAAATACTGGCTAAATGTTCACCATAGGAAAAAAACAATGAACAAATCTATAAATTCTCTAAAGTTGAAAGCTAATAAATCCTAAAAGATGAAAGAATCTTAGAACTAGAAAGACTGGTAGGGAGTATTTAATTCAATCATTTCATTTTAGAGATTAAAAAGACTGAGACTAAACAGCTTAAATGACTTGTTAGCCCCAAAAGGAATCAGTACAACTAGATCCGGGGCTTTTTCTTTCTTTTTTTTTTTTTTTGAGACGGAGTTTCGCTCTTGTTACCCAGGCTGGAGTGCAATGGCACGATCTCGGCTCACCGCAACCTCCGCCTGCTGGGTTCAGGCAATTCTCCTGCCTCAGCCTCCTGAGTAGCTGGGATTACAGGCATGCGCCACCATGCCCAGCTATTTTTTTGTAGTTTTAGTAGAGACGGGGTTTCACCGTGTTGACCAGGATGGTCTCGATCTCTTGACCTCGTGATCCACCCGCCTCGGCCTCCCAAAGTGCTGGGATTACAGGCTTGAGCCACCGCGCCCGGCCCGATCCGGGGCTTTTTCTTAAGGTCCAAAGCTCTCTCCAATACAGTGCGGTGCTTTCCCTACTATACTAGTTTAAATTTCACCTTCTGCTTTGATCAAAGTAATCTCTATGGTTACCATCTGGCAACAAAATAAAGGGTAAAAATAGTTAAAATGCAAAATACTGTTTAATGACAGTCACCTGTCACATTTGCAATTACCATTACTGTGATCACTAGCGTGTGATTTAATATATGGTATTCTAATTCAGAAGCATGGGTATTAAAGAACTGCATCATACATGCGAGAGAATCACACAGTGGCCTAAAGCCATGGTCTGGAGTATTGTCATCTTCTCACAAACGCATTTTTGGATAATGCTCTCTGAAAGTCAGTAGTCACTTAGCACCTCTTCCTTTCATACTCAACCCTACTGACTCTACTCTGCAATTACCCCAAACTATATTCTATTTGGGTGTTTACTGTCTTTCCAGTCTCAGTAGAATATAAACTCAGTAAGAGCAGGGAGCTTGTCTATATTGTTCATCACTGCAGTTCAGTGAGCTGCATCACACCAAGCACATGCCACTGCTTCTGCAGATACTATGGTCCATCCTTTCATCCTTCTATCAGTGACTTATGCACACAGCTGACCTCCTAAGTGGTCTGTAAGTTCCTTTAGAGCTGGAGCCTTGTTTAATCGTTACTTCTCTTTGCACCAGCCTCCACATAATATGTGTTGAATGGATTGGCACATACCTGATCTACATGCAGTTGATCTTAATGGCTGACAATTCCTCATTCTTGCTGTCACAATAAGCAGGATGTGAAAAATTATATGGTTGACAATTGAGTGCTATTTGAAGGACACTACCATCATTTGTTTTATAATTACAATTCATTTAATACAATTTTTCCAGCTGTCAGCTCATGTTCTTCTTGGGACATTTAATACAATTTCTAATTTTCAAATCACCCCCACCCTTTTCTCCCAATCTTCCATGTTCTACCCTATGGCTAAACATCCCCCTCCTTTTCCTGTCTATTCACACAGTTCCTGAAACTCCAATTCCTTGATGCTGCCTTTCAACTCAGAAGGAACAATATGGTTAGAGTTATCCAAAACCAACCTGGTAGAACATGTGACTCATTCTTCTCATTAAAATAATCCTTGTAAATTCCGTAAGTGACTAACGAGTTTGTTCAACATCCATATATGTTGGGTATCTGTAAGTTCTGTTTGTGCCTCCTTTAATTCCTTAAATGAATCCAATCTTACAATGATTTGTTACACAACCTAAACAAGTAAGAAAAAGGCTGATAGGCCGGGCGCGGTGGCTCAAGCCTGTAATCCCAGCACTTTGGGAGGCCAAGGCGGGTGGATCACGAGGTCAAGAGATCGAGACCATCCTGGTCAACACGGTGAAACCCCGTCTCTACTAAAAATACAAAAAATTAGCTGGGCATGGTGGTGCGTGCCTGTAATCCCAGCGACTCAGGAGGCTGAGGCAGGAGAATTGCCTGAACCCAGGAGGCGGAGGTTGTGGTGAGCCGAGATCGCGCCATTGCACTCCAGCCTGGGTAACAAGAGCGAAACTCTGTCCAAAAAAAAAAAAAAAAAAAGGCTGATAAAAAGTCACCACAGCCAGGCACGGTGGCTCACGCCTGTAATCCCAGCACTCTGGGAGGGGGAGACGGGCAAATCACTTGAGGTCTGGAGTTCGAGACCAGCCTGATTAACCTGGTGAAACCCTGTCTCTGCTGAAAATAGAAAAATTAGCCAGGCATGGTGCTATGTGCCTGTAATCCTGCTACTCGGGAGGCTGAGGTACAAGAATCGCTTGAACCTGGGAGGGGGAGGTTGCAGTGAGCCGAGATCACGCCACCGCACTCCAGCCTGGGCAACAAGGTGAAACTCGGTCTCAAAAAAGTCACCACAAATAACTGAAATTTAAAGTTAGTCCAATACTCCCCCTGAGTAGTCCAACTTTTAAAGTGACCCATTCCTTAAAGGGGTCTCTTTTGTTTAAGCTCACAATGTGAACTGTTTTACATTTTACTTGTTCTTTATTTTTAACATTAACCATAAGAAGAGGCTGCAGGTGACAAAAAGAAATGAAAAGACATTAAGCCAGGTACAGTGGTGTGTGCCTGTAATACTAGCTACTCAGGAAGCCAAGGCAGGAGGATCTCTTAAGCCCAGGAATTTGAGACCGCTAAGCTTGTGGGAGTTACTTATAGCCTACTGCTCAAGGTCATTGCCAAGGTCTGATTTTTCACAAAAAAATTTTGCAGCCTCCAGCATAAACGGGTTAAGAGGAAGGAGAATCAAAGGATACATCCAGTTTAAGAATGTAAGTAGTCTTCAAATAACTATGTGCCAAATATGTCATGATTGAAAAGAGGATGAGAAACCCTCAGTATATTAAGAACTGCTAAATACCATATCTTCACAGTTCAGAAGAGGCCCTCCTTAGATTAATTTTTAACTCCTGAATACAAGGCGAAGAGATAACCATCATCAAGAACTAGTATCACTTTTACTAACACTCCATCAATTTGATGCAGGGTGTTCATACACCAATCACAGAGGCAGTAGAATGGTTAAAAATACAGGCTCTGGTCGGGAGTTCAACCTGACCAATATGGTGAAACCCTGTCTCTACTAAAAATAAAAAAACTAGCTGGGTGTGGTGGAAGGTGCCTGTAGTCCCAGCTACTCGGGAGGCTCTTAATCCCCAATTGGCAAAGATTATCTGAAGGTGAAGAGCCGCTGCCTCCTTTTCTGGGCAGGTACTCAGAAGTTCAGATTTTTGGCCAGCTGTGGTGGCTCACGCCTGTAACCCCAGCACTTTGGGAGGCCAAGGTGGGTGGATCACTTTCGGTCAGGAGTTTGAGACCAGTCCTGGCCAACATGGTCTCCACTAAAAATATAAAAATTAGCCAGGCGTGGTGGCACCTGTAGTCCCAGCTACTTGAGAGGCTGAGGCAGGAGAATCGCTTGAACCCAGGAGGCAGGGAGTCATAGTGAGCCGAGATCGCACCACTGCACTCCAGCCTGGGTGACAAGAGTGAAACTCCGTCTCAATAAAAAAAAAAAAAAAAAGTTCAGGTTTTCATTACAATTGGCTCACTAGGCAGGACAGCATGGTGTGTGAGGGCACAAGGTCCAGAATCTAGAATCGGCCTGCCTGGGTTTGCTTCTTGGCATCACCACTTTATTAGCTGTATGATCTTGAGGCATATTACTCAACTTTTGCTAGCCCAAGTTTTCTTATCTGTAAAATAAGAATAATAATAATAGCTATTGTATAGGGCTGAGGTGAGGATCAGACGGCTTAGTACATGTAAACACAGTGCCTGACACTGCAGAAACTACTCGACAAATGTCAGCTATTGTTTTCTGTCTGGCACTGGGGGCAGCTGAGTTTTCCCACCCTTATGTAACTGATGTTTGTTTATGTTAGCTGCTAGAAAGCTCTTAATGAATTTATGGCTCCTCAGCAAGTATACCGAACCCAAGGTATGCAGAGTACCAACTTATCACCTTTCTTCATCCTTGTTGTTTGGAAAGCCCGTTAAACTTGTCTTTACTTCTGTAGTTCCGTCTCCAGTAATGACTCCACCCCACGCCAATCTTATTAATTCTTCAGGACCCAATACAAACGTCAGCCTTCCTGTAAAACCTTCCCTTATGGCACCATTAAGAATGCATAGCTTCCTTCTCGGTGTTCCGGTAACACTTTCCCCTTGTATGGTCCTCACCACCATGCATGACTTGACTAATTCATTACGTACATCAACTCCTAAAGGACAGGGTCCTGTCTTACTCATCTTTGTACTAACACTTTCCTGCCTCTTCTCCAAGCCAAAGACCAGGCACATAGCCATGATCCATAAACTATTTAATGACATAAATTGATTCGGCAACAGCAATAGAGCGATACTCTCTGATCTAGCCTGAATACTGAAACGGCCTTATTCTCTGGCAAACTCCTAAGGTAAATGTTACTTAAACAGCATCCAAGAAAAGATCAGAAGTAAAACGGAGCCCTAAGTCCAATAGGGGGAAGTGATCATCTGTTTTGGGGAGGGTCTGGGAAGCCATAGGCGCGGGCGTACTCCGCAGTCCTGGCTGGGCCGATCTGGGGTCTCCCTCTCGAGCAGTCCCAACTAGGGCTGAGCAGGTAATGGGGGAGAATGCACGCTCCAGCCCGCAGGCCCCCTGAGGCCTAAGCAGGCTCCGCGCAGTGACTCAGCCCCTGGCGCCCGCCAACAGCCAGCCGGCCTCTCCTCACCTTGGCTAGCTTTGCACACTCGGGTAGGCGCTGATCCACCGTGGCGCTGTAGTCCACCTCCATCTTGACGATGCGCCCGTCAGCCCGCTCCGACCCGCCGTCCGCCATGGTCCCTGCCTGAGCGTCCCTTGCTCTCCCCCACTTCGGCCACCACTCGTCACCCACACCGGAAGCCACCCGCGCGCCCGCTCAGGCAGTGCATCGGGAGCCCACGCGAAGGACCCTTCAAGGCCCCCGTCGCTGGTCGCTAGTCAGGCACTGCCGCGGACAGCCCTGAGGGTGGGGCCTGGGGCACGCGGGGCGGGGCTCGCCGCTTCACCTTGCAGCCCACGTCTGGTTTTGTCTCTGGGAACATCGGTCTTTTAATATCTAAAATTTGCGATGAAAAACGCGAGTGTAATAGAACAGACCATCTCATATATTCCTACACCCCTGCTTCGAAATATAATTTCTTAGGACCGTGGGCAATCGCTTAACTTTTTTTGGATCTCGGTTTTCTCATCTCTGCATTAGGAGGCTGAAATAAACCTTAAAGTAGAAAGTTCTAAGGTTTTATCTAGTTGAGAATCTTGGTGGCTTAACCTGTGGGATCTCTGAAAGCTCCTAAGAGAAGACATGGCAGCAGCTCAGTCATTTAACAAAGTGATTTGTTTGTTTTCATTTTTACTGTAATCCACTAAGTTGGAAAAAGAAAAGTTAGAAAGACATTTTATTTGTTATCCCTGTAGGACTTTCGTGAGCATCAAACGAGATGACGTGTGAAACAATTTCAATTCTTTTTTGAGACGGAGTTTCGCTCTTGTTACCCAGGCTGGAGTGCAATGGCACGATCTCGGCTCACCGCAACCTCCACCTCCTGGGTTCAGGCAATTCTCCTGCCTCAGCCTCCCGAGTAGCTGGGACTACAGGCGAGCACCACCATGCCCAGCTAATTTTTGTATTTTTAGTAGAGACGGGGTTTCACCATGTTGACCAGGATGGTCTCGATCTCTTGACCTCGTGATCCACCCGCCTCGGCCTCCCAAAGTGCTGAGATTACAGGCGTGAGCCACTGCGCCCGGCCACAATTTCAATTCTTAAGGGGCTTACAGGTGTTATGTGTTATTTATACCATGCTGGTCACTATAAAATAGCTGGAGATCTTAAAACAGCTTAGCATCCTTGAAAATGGGAAAGGGGCTGGGCGCGGTGGCTCACTCCTGTAATCCCAGCACTTTGGGAGGCCGAAGCTGGCGGATCAAAAGGTCAAGAGATCGAGACTATCCTGGCCAATATGGTGAAACCTCGTCTCTACTAAAATACAAAAATTGGCTTCGCCGCCCCGCGTCTAGCTAGCCCAGCGTCCGCCGCGCCTCGGCCAAGGCTTCAACAGACCACATCAAAATGCCATCTCAAATGGAACATGCCATGGAAACCATGATGTTTACATTTCACAAATTTGCTGGGGATAAAGGCTACTTAACAAAGGAGGACCTGAGAGTACTCATGGAAAAGGAGTTCCCTAGATTTTTGGAAAATCAAAAAGACCCTCTGGCCGTGGACAAAATAATGAAGGACCTGGACCAGTGCAGAGACGGCAAAGTGGGCTTCCAGAGCTTCTTTTCCCTAATTGCGGGCCTCACCATTGCATGCAATGACTATTTTGTAGTACACATGAAGCAGAAGGGAAAGAAGTAGGCAGAAACGAGGAATTCCCCTGGCCCTGATAAAAGTTGTCCCAAAGGGTCACTTAAGGAATCTGCCCCACAGCTTCCCCCATATAAGGATTTCATGAGCAGATCAGGACCGTTAGCAAGTGTACAAATAAAATCTAACTCCCATTTGATGAGCAGAGAAAGAAAAGTTAAATGCCAGACAAGCTTTTGATTTTTGTATTGTTTGCATCCCCTTGCCCTCAATAAATAAGTTCTTTTTTAGTTCTGAAAAAAAAAAAAAACAAAAATTAGCTGGGCGTGGTGGTGCCCGCCTGTAGTCCCAGCTACTTCTGGAGGCTGAGGCAGGAGAATTGCTTGAACCCGGGAGGCAGAGGATGCAGTGAACCAAGATTGGGCCACCGCACTCCAGCCTGGCGCCTGGCGACAAAGCAAGACTCTGTCTCAAACAAAAGAAAAAAAAAAAAAGAAAATGGGAATGAGGTTTTGTTTGGTGTGGGCATACGGTCAACAGCAGCCTGGAAAGCAAACAAGAAAATGGGAAATCTTGGAGTGGTTTATCTGTTATGTTAGTGGTTCTCAATTTAATCAGTGCCAACATGGCTTTATAGATGCTGAATCGATCTCTTTGTTTTTTTATAACTGCAATGAAAATGAAAATCAGGGAAAATTTAACCCATCTACAAGCAAAACAAGACAATATCTTGGTTATAATCTGTAATGTAAAGGAGAAAAATTTTACCTTTTTTTTTTTGTAGGGTCAGCAACTCTACTACATAGCCCAGGCTGGTCTCAAACTCCTGGCCTCAAGCAGTCCTCTCACCTTGGCCTTCAAAAGTGCTGAGATTACAGGTGTGAGCCACTGTGCCCAACCAAGATACAAATTTTAAAATAGCAAAATAATGTGTATTTCAAAAGATAAAGGCCAAAACACGTCTACAGTAGAAAATACAAGGAAGTAGTCATTTGTGTGCACCCATACACAATAACTATAAATGAAAAAGCCGCCACTGCAACAGTTGTGTTCTCTTGGTTCCTGAAGCATCGAAGGGCTTATTATTGGTGACATTTTCCAAATTGGTAACCAACAAGCCACTTCTTGGTAGAGTTTTTTTTTTTTTTTTTTTTTTTTTTTTTTTTTTTTTTTGAGACAGAGTTTCATTCTTCTTGCCCAGACTGGAGTGCAATGGTGTGACCTTGGATCACTGCAACGTCCACCTCCCGGGTTCAGGTGATTCTCCTGCCTCAGTCTCCCAAGTAGCTGGGATTGCAGGCATGCGCCACCCCCACGCTATCCTTCCAGATGCTCAGGTCACAAACCTTGCAGACATGTCTGACCCCTCTCCTCTCACATCCATCAGCAAATCCTATCTTGTCTCTGTCTTCAGTAGATATCCAGAGTCCAGTCACTTCTTACCACTTCCACCACCTGAACCTCTGCCTCCCAGGTTAAAGTGATTCTCCTGCCTCAGCCTCCCAAGTAGCTGGGATTACAGGCATGCACCACCACGCCCGGCTAATTCTGTATTTTTAGTAGATATGGGGTTTCTCCATGTGGTCAGGCTGGTCTCCAACTCCCGACCTCAAGTGATCCGCCTACCTCTGCCTTACAAAGTGCTGGGATTACAGACATGAGCCACCGCCCCTGGCTTTTTTTTTTTTTTTAATTTTGTAGTCTGTTGGCTGGACCTCCTGTGGCCCATGCTGGTGTCTCCCTCTTCCCTCCGTGATTGTGACAACCCAAATTCCCCTACAGGCTTCTAAAACACACTCTAGAGGCTGGTATTGTTGAGACACACTAGGCTAAGATGCCTTCTTTTCACTATATATTCCGTGTGAAATTGGTTTGACGAGAGTACACAATAGGATCTGGAAGTGTAAATTAATTTTTTTATTTAAAAAAATCTTTTTTGAGACAGTCTTGTTCTGTTGCCCAAGCTGGAGTGCAGTGGTGAGATCAAGGCTCACTGCAGCACTGACCTCCCAAGCTCAAGTGATTCTTCTGCTTCAGCCTTAGCCTCCCAAGTAGCTGAGACTACTCAGCTGTTGGTTTTTGTTTTTGTTTTTCTTTTTTTTTGAGGTGGAGTCTTGCTCGGTTGCCCAGTCTGGAGTGCAGTGGCACAGTCTCTGCTCACTGCAACCTCTGCCTCCCAAGTTTAAGCAATTCTCCTGCCTCAGCCTCCTGAGTAGCTGGGATTACAGGTGACTGCCACTATACCTAGCTAACTTTTGTATTTTTTAGTAGAGACGGGGTTTCGACATGTTGGCCAGGCTGGTTTCAAACTCTTGACCTCAGGTGATCCACTTATCAGCCTCCCAAAGTGCTGGGATTACAGGCGTGAGCCACTGTGCCCCGGCCTGTTTTTTTCTTTTTTTGAGATGAAGTCACACTCTGTCACACAGGCTGGAGTGCAGTGGTGTGATCTCGGCCCACTGCAACCTCTGCCTCCCGGGCTCAAGTGATCTCCCTGCCTCAGCCTCCTAAGTAGCAGGGACTACAGGTGTGTGCCACCACACCTGGCTAATTTTCGTATTTTTAGTAGAGACGGGGTTTCACCATGTTGGCCAGGCTGGTCTCGAACTCCTGACCTCAAGTGATCTGCCTGCCTTGCCCTCCCAAAGTGCTGGGAATACAGGCGTTAGCCACCGTGCCCGGCTCTCAGCTATTGTTTTAATTTTTTCTTTTTCTTGGCAGAGATGTGGGGGAGGGGTTCACTGTGTTGCCCAAGCCAGTCTTGAACTCCTGGCCTCAAGCGAGCCTCCTGCCTCGTCCACCCAAAGTGCTAGAATTACAGGCATGAGCCACGGCGCCCAACTGGAGGTCTAAATTTAGAGTGAAGAGTTTGAGAAGACAAAAAGTAACAAAGGTGTGATGGAGTAGGCAGATTTATGATTTCCTGAACTCAAAAATTAAGGAAAGGATTTAAGAAGGGGCAAATAGGAGGGGGAGAAAAGTATTTGGCTCCCAAACCAAACTAGAGCCCTTCCTTGCTGAGTTCAGAGGTAAAAGAAAATGAAAGCAAGTTGACATCCTAAGGAAACAAGAGATTAAAGTTAAATAAATAAGGAACCTCAGAATTCTGAGCAATGGTCAGAAAAAAATAGGTGAGAGTACTGTATTACAGACAGATACTTTATGAATTCTTTATTTGGGTGAGTCTGAGACTGTGGCTTTGTAAGAAAGAAGCTGGTTTCAGAAGAGAAAAATTGACAGTGTAGAAATATCTAAAAGGCAAGAGAGAAATACTGATTGGAAAAAGGAGTTTATTCAGAAAGAACGTGATCGTGTATATTATGATACTCATTATTAGAAGTAATGTGCCCATATATTAATTACAATGTTTGGTATATTTTTTCCTAGTTGGCATTCCCAGCACATTCATCTTATTGGCTGTGCATGTATCTGACCCAAAGATCCTGCCATTGGGAAGTGAACATTCTTTTTCTTTTTTGAAACAGTCTTGCTCTGTCACACAGGCTGGAGTGCAGTGGCATGGTCTCAGCTCACTGCAGCCTCAGCCTCCCAAGTAGCTGGGACAATAGGTGTGCACCACCATG